GAGGTTTTGTCATCATCACCATCGTACCTGATGATAACAAAACCTTGTCGAAACGTTGTACATTTGCTGTTATGTTAAACATATATTAAAGTTTTTCTTCATTACCCGTTCAAGCCGTTTCCAACCATTTTTAGTCTCAAAGTGGGTTCCTCGTCATCGAATTTGAAATCCCCAGATTGTTTTAAGTGAGAGTATATCAGCAACTATAAGTTTAAAAAAATACGCTTTTTACAAAAAAAAAAAAACAAAAACAAGCGAATGTAAGATGTTTTTGAAAATCTAGAAGAACACTTAAAACCAAAGTGTTCTTACAACACTTTGTTGGTTTTTAGCACTCACTGTAAGTTAAAATATTTTCACATGAATGTTTTCAGAATAGAACTATTTAAATTTACAACTCTGCAAGATATTCATGAAGTACTTATTTCTGTGCCTAAAGAAATGGTATTTAACAGACCATTCTGTTTTTGTTGAAATTTTGCACGAAGTTACTCGAGTGCTATCTGTGCTAGCAGTTCCTAAGTTACAAGCTACTTCCTTTAAAATTTACAGAAAGAATAAATCGTGAACTTAAACACATAATTAATACTTTGATTGAGTTTAATGGCCTTTTCTTCATTTGTCAATGCTATGTTTCTAATTTGTCTAAGCCTCGTCGAGATTTTGTTTATTGTATTTGTTCCTAATGGGCTTGGAAAGCGAAATCTAAGAAATTTAACATATTTTTGAATTTTAGTTTATAATTGTTTTTATGTATATTTTATACATTGTAAGTTTTACCTGATCTTATATTAACTGAATTATTCCTATTTTTAACAGAGAAGATAATGGTAACTAACTGGGCTGGATTTTCTTATATTTTTGTTAAATGTGATAGGAAGTGGTGGCAGACAAAACAAACATCACAACTACGCCTGCAATAACGAACAATATTGAGTCTTACCACTTTACACAAATGGGTATATAAATTGGTGAAACTCCTGTTGACGAAAGTAGGCTAATATAATGTTCGACAAATATTCGAAACTAGAAAAGTTCTATAGTCGTTTTATAAGATTGGTAATATCTTGTTGTTATTTTCCTTTATGCATGTTTCTCTTGCTAGCGTGCTAGTGAAAGAGCTGACGTTTTCCAAATTAAATCCTGTTCCTTATGTATTGTTAGTTACCACATGCGTACAACATCATTTGTGTAAGGTACTTACTAACAAAATATTTCAATATAATGCTTAATGAGAAAATTAATTGACCATTTCAATTTCAAATAGTATTAATGTTTAAAAATTAATGGTCATTATCTAAATTATTATATAGTCTGAACAACCATACATGCACTTTAGACTTATTAGTTTTATAGTCTCGAAATATCAGTAAGATAGTAAAGCTACGAGGGTTGTCTGAAAATTTCGTGGCCCAGCCTAAAAAAAGCTGGAATGTATGTTTCTTGTGATAAATATTTAGTTTGAATCTTTATATGAGTAACCAACACGTAACATATAACTTAACGAGCTCATTTTGTGTCTTGCGGATATTTGAAGGAAAGAAGCGAGCAGTGTTAAACGTCATGAAGAAGGTCGAATTTCTTGCAGTGATTAAATCCACCAGAACATGTAATCAACATTAGAAAAGTGCAGAGAGCGCTGAGGCATATTCAACAGTGAAAAAGTGGTGTGCTGAGTTTAAGCGTGGTAGACAATGATGCGAAGATGATCCAAGGTCAGGTCGGCTCGTGGCATCGAACAAACCAAAATTGTAGGTAGAGTTCATGATTTGGTTATAAATAATAGAAGAATTACCATTAGGAAGTTAGCAGAGGAAGTGGGAATCGGCAAAGTTACTGCAGCAAGCATTTTGAGTGACAGTTCGGGCATAAGTAAGGTTAGTGGCAGATGGATTTCAAAAATTTTGTCACCTGAGCAAAAATGGATCCGAGTTGTTAAAAACCAATGCCTACTCCAAAGGTTTCAATAGATTCATGACTATGGCCGAAACGTGTGTTCACCATCTATAGCAATAGACAAAAAATGCAATGTTTACAAAGGAAACACTCAAGTTCACCCATCCCAAAGAAGTTTAAGTCCCAACCCTCTACTGACAAGGTCATGGCATCAGTTTTTTGGAATGCCGAGGGCGTTTTACTGGTTAATTATTTGGAAAGTCAAACCGTTATAAGAGATTACCATGCTTAATCAACAATGTCGTCAAGAAATAAAAAAAAAGAGATGATAATTGCTTAAGAAAAGGTGTTCTTTTCCACCAGGACAATGCCCCAACTCACAAATCGAGTGTTACTTGGAACGCTATCAATGATGCTGGCTTCGAATTACTCAATTACACCTCCTCCTCCTCCCCTCTTACTTCCCAGACTTAGATCAAAGTGACATTTTTCTCTTCTCTAACCTTAAAATATTTTTAAAAGGTCGTAGATTTCAGAGTGATGATGATGATGATCTCGTACACATCGTCTAGTCATAGATTAAGAACCTAGAAGAAGAGATCTTTACGAAGGGCACAAAGGTCTTAGAGCACAGCTGGTGCAAGTGTATAGACTCAAGAGGAGAGTATGTTGAAAAATAAAGCATAGTTTGTGAACCAATGTCTCTTTTTCTCTACAGGTCAGACCACTAACTTTTCGGATTCCTCTCGTCTACCACGATAAAAACCAGTTCTTTCCTTAAGGAAAATTTAATAGATGTTTTATAGTTATTCAGTTTGTATTCAGATAAAAGAAAATAAATGGGGTAAGAACTTTTATAATTACTGAGTGATCTTTCGATACAAGTCCATCAACAAACATATTATCTAACAATTTATTAACAATTTTTTGGAAATTACTTTAAGCAAGAAATAATCAACAATTTTACAACATAATATGTGTTTGCAACAATAACATTCTTCGCTAGAAAACTGGCTTATTTTAGATATCAAAATCGTTTATGCTCTGCAAAAAAAAAAGAAGACATAAACTCTTCATCTTTGTTCTTTAGATTCCAAATAAATATAATTTGAATTCCGCTAGTTTTTAATAAACTTTTAATCTTACTACAATAACACAAGACTGATTAAACATAAAATAATTCCTTAAAGATATTTTATTTTGATAGTATAAAATAGGCTAAGATATGTTGATTATATAAAACTTTGAATTCAGATGATATTTTCTCCGGTATAGATAGCGAATACTTTTCACTGCGTTAATTGTGTGTTCAGTAAAGTTAAAGATAAGCTTATTTTACTTTTACTGAACATGATTAAATTAGGATTATAAATTTCCTTAGAATACAGTTATAAATTCTACATAACGACTGATCTGATGTATTTACATCCAATCAGTTAATATAATCTTGTTATATATAAACATCGACTTAAACAATCCCGTAAAAAGTTACATTTTCACAATATCAAAACATAGCAAATAGAACATCTAATTTTTACCAATAAATTTACCGAAACATATATTACAAAACACTTAAAGTTTCCTTATTCAATGTATTTTGAATAATATTTGGTTCCACTGTCTATGGAAGATGTTATTAATACCGTTCCTTAAATCATTCACCTGTTTTAAAAAAAGTATAATAGATACTGTGATTAAGTTTTGCTTTACTTATTGGGGCGGCCAACAGATCTGGTTAATTTCATTGTGTAATATTATTAAAATTAGTAAAATACAATGCCAGTGGAACGATATAAACTGTCTGGGTAAGATTTCTGATATAAAGTTACACATTTTGTAACGATCATTCAGAGCTATAATAAACTATGAACCTTCCAAAACAAACACTAGGTATGGCCGTCTCTTCAATCGTTATGTAAATCTCAGAATACAGACAACCAAATATACTAACCTATATGGTTCATCATCAACAAATGCCAAAATATATAGGATGATAAGCAAAAAAATTGTCTTTTTTGTATTTCTGTCACTACCATGACAGCACGAGTCTCAATACTTACTCGTAGAAATGCAACAATCGAATATTGTTTATCGACGAATAGTATTCCTGTCTAGGAAGGCGCTGATTTGTTTGTAGAAAATTGGAATTTCAAATAAACTGGTCAGAAAAAAATCATAAGTATTCTACTATATCACATTTGATTGAGGGGAAAGACGAATATAGGGGCGCGTTGTTATCATTGGTGCCTGTCCTCTGGCGGGCGTGATTAGTTATGAGCCTATTGAAGTATGGAAACGATGGACCAAACGTTTGGGAATCGATTCGACATTCTTGGATGACAGAAACATCTGCCTCATCTCTTGTAAAACTTTGAGGTACTGCCTCTGACCGTAAGGTTCCGAGGCTTTTCGTTCGTCGACGAATTCTTACTCTAAATGGTCGACAGGAATCGCTTTCTGGAATAAAGTGAAAGAAACAGATTATCACAGTACATACATAAACTATTATAACTGAACTGTATACTGTGCTATAAGTTTTTTTATGATAAATCTGTTTGTAATTTAGCTTAAGATTTTGATTAATAAAGTATATACGGGAACTATTAAACAAACAAAAAACAACAACAGTAAAACAAATACGATCTTCGTTAATAGTAATAATAAAACACGAAACTAGTATTCGTTTTAGAACAAAATCTATCACCCACACAAGTTTTATCGGTTGTACATAGTAAAAATTTAATTTTATTGACAATGTTTGACCAGGTTTACCTGGCATCATCAGGCGGCATACACGAACTGAGGCTAACAGAATTTAATTTAAAAAAAAATCACATGATAATCCCTAACAATGGTAATCTACAAGCATTACGAGTAAAAATTGCAGGCAATAAAGTAATTAATCAATGATCTGTCAAATTTAGGTATAATAAATAAATACATTTTTTATACCTGATTCTAAGTACTGAAATTCGTTCTATATACACGAGAGAAGAGAATGATTAAATATATATATAAATGAACATATTTGATTAATTATTTTATTGTCTGCAATTTCTTAGTCGTATGCTTTTAGATTACCTTTGTTAGAGACTATCATGTGATTTTTTTTAAAATTAAATTCTGTTAGCCTCAGTTCTTGTATCTCGCCTGATGATGCCAGGTAAACCTGGAAAAGCCCGGCATGGCCAGGTGGTTAGGGCACTCGACTCGCAATCTGCAGGTCGCGGGTTCGAATCCCAGTCACACCAAATACGCTCGCCCTTTCAGCCGTGGGGGCGTTATAATGTGACGGTCAATTCCACTATTCGTTGGTAAAAGAGTAGCCCAAGAGTTGGCGGTGGGTGGTGATGACTAGCTGCCTTCCCTCTATTCTTACACTGCTAAATTAGCGCAGATAGCCCTCGTGCAGCTTTGTGCGAAATTTAAAAAAAACAAACCTGGTAAAACATTGTCAAAAAAATTAAAGTTTTACTATGTACAACCGATAAAAATGTATGTGAATTTTAAAAACGTAGTTATTTCTATTATTTAATAAACGTTATCATCATTTTAGTCTTTTTAAAGAGAAAATGCTTTATATATAAAAATTGTAAAACGCACATAAAAGTAATTGACCCTGAAAAGTTTTTTAAAAGGCACTTCAGTTATCTCCTAAAATAAATTAAAAATCACTTTTGAAGCTTCAGTATTCGAAGAAAAACTTTGGGTTGTGTGATGTCTACCTTCACATAGATTTACGTCTTCGCTCCCATCTGTGTCTTCTTCAAGCGACGAAAAAACACTTTTTGTTTGAGCCCTCTTGTGGTACATAGCGTTATCATAAGATACATCATCTGATTTCGTGGGTGCGTATTTGAAATGGACAGGAAAATCATTATGTGAATCGGCAGATTCACTGCCACTTTCCGAGTCCATGAATCTAACGATTTGACTAAATTCGTCCACAAGGGTTAACGGATGAAGTTGAACGAAGGAAGAAGTCCCGACGTCTAAGGTTTCTTGATGTTCTATATATAACACTTCTGCATCAGGACTGGACCCTGTTCTGCTGCTTGTAGAAATGTTTTGAACACCAGTGGGAACCAGAGCTAATTTTAACGATACCGAAGACAATCTCCTGAAAGGTAATTCAGAAAAAGTTATAATTTTTCCTGGTAATTTTTTTAACATTTTCTGCCCCCCCCCAGTGGCACAGTGGTATGTCTGCGGACTTACAAAGCTAGAAACCGGGTTTAGATACCCGTGGTGGGCAGAGCACAGATAGCCCATTGTGTAGCTTTGTGGTTAACTTCAAACAAACAAACACACAACAAAAACTTTATTATGCCTTTGTGCATCCCTTAATGAGAACAATACGTGACAAGAAATGAAAGAATTAGAACTAAGGTTTAAAAATAATTGAATTCATTATTTAGCGGGGTTCAAATTTTACATGAAACTTACCGGAAATATACTTATAGAGACGGATGGGTTGTCCAGACCTGTTTTCAGTGTATAATGTTTGTTTGAAGTTAAGCACAAAGCTACACAATGGGCTATATGTGCTCTTTCCACCACGGGTATCGAAACCTGGTTCCTGGAGTTGTAAGTCCGCAGACATACCGCTGTGCCACTGGGGAGGGACCCTTTTTAGTGTAAGAAAGATATTTATGCTAAAAATGGGCTCCATTTAATCCTGTAAGGGAACTAGACGTTTCTGGAAGCTCTAAATAATTTCGTTAAAGGTAGTTTAAACTAAATCTGCTCAGTGTTGAGTGTGCTTGGGAAACTAGGAATAAAGAAAATGATAGAATAGAGAAGATTTATAGGATAACAAGTTAAATATTAGTTTTAAAGATAAATGTAGTTTACAATATACACTTTTAAATGTTAGAAATATTAGGAATATTGTTAGAAATATTGTTCGAAATGTTAGAAATATTGTTAGAAATATTAGAAATATTGTTCGAAATGTTAGAAATATTGTTAGAAATATTAGAAATATTGTTAGAAATATTAGAAATATTGTTAGAAATAATAGAAATATTAGGAATATTGTTAAAAATGATAGAAATATTGTTAGAAATGTTAGGAATATTGTTAGAAATAATCGAAATATTAGGAATATTGTTAGAAATAATAGAAATGATAGAAATATTGTTAGAAATGATAGAAATATTAGGAATATTGTTAGAAATAATAGAAATATTAGGAATATTGTTAGAAAAGCTAGAAATATTAGGAGTATTGTTAAAACTGTTGTTAGAAATGTTAGAAATATTGTTAGAAATGATAGAAATATTAGGAATATTGTTAGAAATGATAGAAATATTGTTAGAAAAGCTAGAAATATTGTTAGAAATATTAGGAATATTGTTAGAAATGTTGTTGAAATGTTAGAAATATTAGGAATATTGTTAGAAATGTTAGAAATATTGTGAGAAATGTTAAAAATGTTGTTAGGAATGTTGTTAGAAATGTTAGAATTATTGTTAGAAAAGCTAGAAATATTAGGAATATTGTTAGAAATGACAGAAATATTGTTAGAAATGATAGAAATATTGTTAGAAAAGTTAGAAATATTGTTAGAAATGTTAGAATTATTGTGAGAAATGTTTAAGATGTTGTTAGGAATGTTGTTAGAAATATTAGGAATATTGTTAGAATTGCTAAAAATAATGTTAGAAATGTTAAAAATGTTGTTAGGAATGTTGTTAGAAATATTGTTAGAAATATTAGGAATATTGTTAGAAATGTTGTTGAAATGTTATGAATGTTGTTAGAAATATTAGGAATATTGTTAGAAATGTTAGAAATATTGTGAGAAATGTTAAAAATGTTGTTATAAATGTTAAAAATGTTGTTAGGAATGTTGTTATAAATGTTAGAAATATTGTTAGAAATGCTAGAAATATTGTTGGAAATGTTAGAAGTCTTAGAAATAATGTTGGAAATGTTAGAAATAAAGTGGATAATTCAGGGCTGAAGTTGAAATGGAAGAGTACGATATAATGGAAAATGTTGAAACATGATTAGGTTTTAAGAATATTGACATTATTTTGCAATTCTTGGTTATAAGATATTTAATAGTTATAGACTTTATAAAGAGGAGATGGAGTGACATTCATTACCTATGACTTAGTTGCAGACTACTGGAACTAAAAAACATAAAAAATAGCAGGCTAGATGTTGAATTTATATGGATTATAATCAGGGGTTTCAAGGGTATAAAATATTTAGTTAGCAGTTATCATAGGTCACATAATCAGACAAATGATGTCAATGATAAATTGTTTAATGAGATCATGGTTATTACAAAAGTGGGTACTGATGCTCTAAACATAATAATAATTGGAACTTTAATCTTAGTCACATTAATTTGGTTGATATGGAGTCAAGAAGAGGGAAAGAAAAGTTTCTTGAAGTGATTTGGGATGATTTTCCAAACCAAATGAGGATGTGATTACAACCAAACGCATTTTGACACAACTCAAGGATGAAATCAAGACAATTAAAAGTTTAATTGAGAGAGAGAATTTGAACCTTTTCCCTTCTATTATTATTATTTCCACCAGATTCTATGTTCTACCCATACTGCATAAAGAGGGTTTGCCCTTTAGACTGGTTGTATCTTGCAGCAATAGCCTGACCTGTCCATTGGTCTAATACTTAATGAACAGACTATAATTGCTTGTGGATTTAAATAAACATACTGCATAAAACTCCATAAGGTATTGTTACCAGGTTAACAAACAAAAAGTATAAGAAAAACGTATGGTATCCTTCGACATAGAAAAAAACGTATTTACCAAGGTTCCTATAGATAGAAGCCTAAACCATAGCCTAAAAGATTAAATGAAATTTCTACCCCGTGAATTGTCCGAAAGAAACTTATATACCCAATTATAGTATGTGTGGCAGCAATTCGTATTTCCAGTTTAATAGAGAATTTGTAAAACAAAATCACAGCTTCAGCATATGTAATACTTTCTTCTTTGTGATATCTTCTGGAATGACTTTTATTTATATGCACAATATGTTGATGCCACGTTCACCTTACTTTCTGATGATAACAATTGCTTTAAACAGTTTCTTGAAAACTTAAACTCAGTTCATTCAGACATAGAATTTCACTTATGAACTAAAATGTAGCGACTGTTTCTCACTTTTCTAGTTACTCGATACTCCAGTTAAGCACAGGCGTCTATCAGAAACCAGATAGTGTGAACCAGACAACTGCAGATGGATTAAAAGTTGGTCCCTGTTTAACGATATCCTAATACCCCTTGATATCAAATCACATAAGTGCTGCTTTGAAACAGAATAAAATTTAAACCAGCTCACACGCGAGGGAAGAAACCTTCACTTGAATTTAGAAAGGGAAATATATGATAGAATCTCAGTACAGAAATGTAACTTATTCCATTCATCGTTCTTTTAATCGTGCTTATATTAGTCAAACTATAATATATCTTTCAATTAAAGGTACATGAACGTTACCGTCGTCAGTAGGTTTGGTTTGTTTTGAATTTCGTGCAAAGCTACACAAGGGCTCTTTGCGCTAGCCGTCTCTAATTTAGAAATGAAAGACTAGATGGAAAGCAGCTAGTCAACACCACCCACCGCCAACTTTTGGGCTACTCTTTTACCAACGCCTCTTTTACCAACATTATAACGCCCCCACGGTTGAAAGGGTGAGCATATTTGGTGGGACGAGGATTCAAACTCGCGACCCTCAGATTGTGAATCGAGCGCCCTAACCACCTGGCTATCGTCAGAAGGAAGCTAAAAATTTGGCATTATTTTCACATATTTACTCACCCCAGTACAAAATTAGTTTTGAACAATAAACAATCCTGCAGAACCCAAATTTTTCCATTCACGCAGTACCAGAGAATCGATAGAGATATTCAAAAATAGAGAAGACATTCTCCATAATGAAATTGAATTTGAACTCTCTATCTCGATTTCTTTATTTTTTATTTCGAATTAATTATTGCACTCTACTACCGTTAGTGAACCTTGACCCTTCTGGTGCCGTTTCGGTTTTAATTTGTCCCTTCAGAATAAACATTGGGTCAGAAACCAGTGCTCTGGCCTTTGCTTTTCTTTATTCAAATTAATATTTCTAATTATCACAATTAGTATATTATTAAAGTTTTCTGGTAACGTTAAACTTCTACGCACTTCTAGTTGTATTGTAAATGTTTATGTGCTACAGTGACTTAGATCAATTGATGAGTTGGACACATACTTGGAAAATGATCTATAATTATAGTAAGTACAAAGTAATGTACATGAGTTATGATAATTTGGATGACACGTGCAATGTGGATGGGAACCTACTCAAAAGTGTGATAGATAAAAGGAATATTGACATTTTTGTTGATAAGTCGCTCATGCAAGCAAGGCAGTGCTCTGTTGCTAGTAATAAAGCTAATAAACGTTTAATAAAGCTAGTAAACGTTTAGGATGTATTTATAACCATAATGATTATAAGTAAAAAGAGGTAATTTGTTCTTTATACAAAGCACTAGTTGGGCTTCACTTAGAATGTTGTGCACAATTTTGATTCATTATAAAAAAAAGATTATTGATTTATCAGGAATAGTTAAGAGGACTTCTACTAGGATAGTTATTTTTTCTTTAGAAAAGAAGATAACGAGATGACCTTACAATAAATTTACAAGATTTTTCAGAGAATCAATATGATAAAAGCCTCTGGTTTCTTTGTGAGGTATTCTGAATACAGTATGACGAGAAGGTTCAAATTTACAACTTTGAAAAGTGAAGGTTGGCTCCATTTAAGCTTGTAATGAACTTACGGAATAATTTGCCGTCAAAAGTAATGGAAGTTGAAAACTTGGAATGGTTTAAGAAGGGAAATCGATTATTTCCTGAAAAATAAAGAACGTATTTTAGTTTTTAGTTTCTTTCAGATGTTGTTATGCAGGTACATCTTAAAGGAACAAATAATTCCTTTTCCGTATATGATGTTATTTGTCTTCATATTGTCAGTATTTTTACCTTTTTTTTATCACTTATTGCAGTTACGATGATTTTTAAGCTGAATCTTATAAAGAATAATACCTAAGAGGATGGTATTCCTCTAGAGATGTATTTAGTTCTTCAGGAGACGGAGACCTGGATACCATGGAGATGTCTCTGTTTTGACAAAGAACTGGAACTACAACTGCAGAAAATTTTAGTAAAACATATTTTAACTCATTATTACAGAATAATGGAATACTAACATTTTAAGACACACTTGACACGATCAGTTTAAATTTTATAGAAAATTGTCCTGAATAAAAGATATCGTTTATTTTTTCATAAATAATATGCCATAAATTTCGAATCAAAGAAAATGTGAAATAAGTTCATCTGTTTTATATAGCTGACCATGGTTAAATGAATTATGTCACATAATTGAATAGCAAAGTTTTATAAGAGCATCATCTTTTTTTGGCGTTAAAGTTTTGAGAAGACAAACATTAAATGTAATAGCTTTGTATTTAATAGCCCACGAAGTTGCTGGAAACTGAAAAAAAAACTCAGTTTATCTCCAAAGGATAATAGAAACGACTACTGATAACAACAAAGTTTAAATAACCAGAAGAAACCATATTTGATTGAAACAAGAATGAATTATCAATAGTTCTAAAATCTGTCAAGAGGTGGAGTTATGAGCTAAAACTTTGAAAAGCAAAAAAATAAACAAACAAACTCAGAGCCATTCTATGAGCCGCTATGCTGCGGCTAAAAATTAAACATTATATCAATAGCAGTTGCATGATAAGGATTAAGAAAGCCCAAAAAAGTACAATACATTACTAGGATGAACTTATTTCCAATATGTATATATATACGCACGTCACTATAAAAGTTCAGCAATTGATATGACTGCTCCAAATTATATATAGTTATAACATCATCATTATATTTTTAAAACAAGTTACTAGATAGTGCAAAAGAAAGAAAATTGTCCAGAACTAATCTTTAAACGGAGCAATAAGACTTGGATTATATTCTTTAATGTTACGGTTTGTATACCTTATTATGATATGTAATTTTTATATTATGTCAATGATATACGAACGTAATATCAATAATTTGTGATTCTTGTATTATGCTAATAATAAACAAACATAAGATCAGTAACTTGTGACTTGTTAAAATAAATAATAATGGAAGTATTTCTACATCTTTCTATTAGAAACATCCAGTCTTCATGCCGCAACGTGAAATATAATGTCACACATTTTCACAAAAACTAGCAGCTTTTCATAGTTATAAAGACAAAGCAATTAAAATTTCGACCGTACTCAACAGTAAGTTTGAGGGCTTATAACGCTAAAAATCGGGTTTTGAGACCTGCGGTTGGCAAAGCACATATAGCCCGTTGTTTAACTTTGGGTCTAACAACACTTATCCACGATGTAGACTAATGTCATACAGGGATGGGTGCGTTATATGAAAGGTGTTTTGCATAAACAAATCAGCAAGTCATGTGAAGTTGTGTTGGAACGCCACGTATCAGAACAGCATTGTAACATTATTTGGTGTTTCGTAGATAATGTGAGGTCACTGAAAATTAATAGGTTTAGGGAGGATTTTTTGAAAGCCCTTTACACTGTAAAGTATTCGAATGCTCCAATCACAAATTTTCAGATCGGGATCTGTAATTTTCAAGACTGAAGTATTCACTGTACTTTATCATACTGAGAAAAAAAAAAGACAAATGGATCAAATTGGGAGACCAGGACCACCCAGAAGGAGATCTGAAACAAATCATAGCCCAGCCTTGGTAAACAAAGTGCAACGTCTTGTAACAGGTGAAAATCCACGAACACAAATGTCAATGGTAAAAGCAGTTCGCGTGATCCAAGCAACATTCCGCAACATAATCAACAAGGATCTCCACCTAGAAACGAAACTAATAGGGTATGGGTTCACACCTAAATTTGGCTTCTAGACATGCCTCTCCTTCAACCATCGTATACCTCTAGCAGCTGGAGAATTAAGCGTGTATTTATGCTATTCATTACGAAGACATTTATTGTTCAAGTCGACGGATTTCTGAGCGATCAATCTGTTGAAACTGGTGTTGTAAAACGTTATCTTCCTACACTAAATGGAATACGAAAAGCTTGCAGAGTTTATTGGTGTGCTTTGGACATCAGAGCCTTATGACGGAGCCTTTTGCTATGGAAACATCGCTGCACGGTTATTAACAAGAAGCACGGTCGTGATATAGAGCATGACCGGATGTGGCAACATAGACTGTAAAGATGTAGTGAGGTTATAAAATCATTTTAATATATAGTAATCAATCACTGGTATATACGAAACAAATCTAAATACAGCACTAATCTTATCCTTTGCATATATTAGACATAACTGACCACATTAAATTTATTTACGAGGTCATATTTATGTTTGGCGTACTTAATTAAATACAATAAACTTATCCACGATATCGAATTTTTCTGAAGTGATATTTCAGGTCGAGCAGGATTCTCTTCCACTTAAACTTCTAATAAAACTTGCAATAGACGAGTTCTGAGCTTTACAAACCGACTTTCATAACTCAAGCCCTTATTAACAATTGAAGCTCAAACTGAAATGTGTGTCATTCAAGACGCTTTATATCTTAGAGAAAGTTTGAATTTCACGGTGCGAAATGCCACTGTTCAAACGTCTATTATTTGTCCAAGACGTACGCTAATATTTATTTGGCGAATAACTAAGGTTCACAAACCTTGGATGTCCTCACAGTTTCCATCAGCCGTCGACGAAGAGTTTTCAGGGACTGGTGACGTCAGACTATGGGTAACTATGATTAAAGGTTCATCCATTTCCTTTAAACGTGCCATTAGAGCTTGTAGTTCGAGAGTTTTCTGCAAGGAAATAATGTCAAACTTATTCATATTTGATAATTACATTCAGTTCTATAGCCCTAGTCTGGAGTAGTGGTGTTTTCGGCATTTCTGTAAACACATGTGATGGAAAAAATATTAAACTCTTTGCTTACGTTCTTTTCAAGACAAAATTTATTGTATATTTCCCGTGCCAGAAAAAAGACAAATAACATCTTCTGATATATATATATGTATCAGAAGATGTTATTATATATATATAATTAGTAATATAAGGAATAGTAACATTATTTCATCATTTGTATGAGGATGAAATTTCAACACTTCATAACAATGAAGAATTATAAATATTTGCATTTGTGACAAGTTGGATTAAAAAGACTAATTATTTTTTATATATTTTAGCTTCAGTTATAATAAGTTAAATTAAAGAAAGAACATAGATTAATTTTTTAATTAACAAACTAAGATCGCACCAAAATTATTAAATGCAGTTTAATTAATCACAATTTAATATACTTATAGTTACACACTGTTAAAGAGCCAAGAAAACTTAAGAATTTAGTAAACGTTGTTTTAATTTTAACGTTCTCCTGGGTTTACTTTCCATAGTTTTGTACTCTGTTGATAGCAATACTTTTTGCCTGTAATTCATGTGATCTCTAACGACAAAATATGTTTGTAATATTGCTAAAGTACTGTTAACATAGATTCAGTGGGATTCGAGTCCAGAACTTTGCTTGGTAGACAAATACTTTAACCAACTAGATACCGTTACTCGAATACCAAACCAATCAGTTTTCACTCCACTGGTTATAAAAGGCAAAATTTGGCACAAAACTTGAGCTATGCCAATAGATTTATTGCTACAATGATCAGAGCAGATATAACAAAGTTATTGTTTCTTTGTGAATTTCTTGTAAAACTACTCGCAGACTATCTGCGCTAGTGTTCGTAATGTTGAAGTTATAGACTAAAGGGAAAGGAACTAGTCAACACCACCTACCGCTAACTCTTGGGCTACTATTTACTAATGAATAGTGGTATTTGACCGTCACATTATAGCGCTCTTATAGCTTAAAGAGGGAACACGTTCGAGGATTGGATTCGATCCGCAACCCGCAAATTGAGTCGAGTGCCCTAATCACTAGGCCATGTCAGGTTATTGTCTCTGTACATAAGAAAACGATAAAGTGACGTTTTATCAATGGTGATTTTGTGAGTTTTTTTTGTGCGGGAGAGAAAATTAGATCATTTTTTGCCAATGGGAATAATGAATACATTTTAGTTAAATAAATGAGTTCGTGTTGTTGAAAAGTGAACAAAGGTTAAAGTCACATAAAAAGAAATCGGAACTAAAAAAATCCAAGCAAGGTACAATCACTTCTAACATTGAGGTTCGGATTCACTCCAGCTTTTGTTTGTCACTTAACATCGACGTTGAAAAGTAGAACCCCGTATTATATTTGGTATCTCTCCATTTCTTTTGAATAAGTAAAATAGATACCACTGGAATATCTTGGAAATAATTTATATTTCAAACTCTAACTTATAGCATAACGCTTTCTTCAAATTTACCTATGTAAGATATATGATCACGTTTTTATGCATAAATTTAATTTTAAAACATGAGAAAGGGTTAAGCGAAAGTGTTTGATAACAAATTAGTTTATGTGAAGCTTGCAGTCGTTACTGCTTTACATGAGTAAGGTATCTTACAAGAAGTATGCACAAATACCTTAATTAAACGTATACGTTAAGCGTTATAAAGCTATAAATGTCTCATATACGGTTAAGTGTATGCGTGAGTGTGTTTATAAATCATCGTGGTCAGCAGATTTTCATAACGTAACTCTTCTTAAACCAGAGAAAACAAACAAACTACAAAGTTAAAAGTACTGATGTGTTACTCCTTACCTCCTCCAACATTTGTCTATAACGATAGTTTTCATCATGAAGAAGTTTGATTTGGCTATGGAATTCAAAGTCTTCCGAGTCTCTGTGGGACTTTTTGAAGGGTTTCAGTGTAGCTCGCACACGCCTATTTTCTGCTTTGGGCATTCTTTTAAGTTCAATAAGCTACATAAAAATAATACAATAAATATCTGATGTATTATTCCTTATAACCATCAGAAGCGTTAATTTGAATTGCAATTTCAAATGCAATATACACTCAATAGAAACAACGCATTAAAACACTCTTTATTTAATAAAGTTTGGAGACGTCATCAAATTTGAACTCTCTTCATTTATAACTGAATAAAATGAAAGTAACGTTAATCTAATATTTCTATAAAATACATGTGCAATAAAACATTAAAACAATACAGGATCAACTGCATTTTTTCATGTGGCTAAATAATTTGGTTTTGTGAAGTTTAGTAATTTGAGATATTAAAATGTAGAATAATAGGGAGGCTGAATGCAGCTACAGATGGATAAATAGGTAAATAGATCGACTTGTGTTATCGGCGAAAAGACTTAAAAAGGAAAAGATGAACTGATGACTCAGATGCAACAGTTGATAAATACATTGAAAGCTGAGATACTAAGGAAAACATAATCTGTAATAAAAGTAAATGATATATACATATAAACAAGAGAGAATATTGAAGATGATTTTACACAATTAACTCTATGAATTATATAGACCACTGAGTTTTGTGGAGCGTAAAAAGAAAAGAACAAACATGTATACATAATATAAAGATTAATCGGCAAGATGCCCTAACTAAGGAAAAAGTGGGCTTCAAGAAGTGTAGCAGGAGAGAGAAAGACATAGGCTTTGCTCTCACCAATCTCACCTTGGGCACGAATACCAGACACAAAGTGGTAGTAGAACAAAATATTATGAAGATGGAAATTATGATAAAAGCAGCATCCTGCTGTTCTCTGAGCACGAAGGAAATAGCTGCTCCGACGACACACATAATGACCACGTTGTATACACTCATACCAATATACTTGGAATCGTTAAGAGCGGGAATACTCACGTGCCGAGTTTCCCACGCCAAGAAACAGCCAAAAGCCTACAAACAAATATGAAAATACTATAATAAAATCTTAAGAAAATGCTTCACAAATAGAACTGTAGTACTATAAGTTTTGTTTACATTTGTAGAATGTGTTGAAACAACCATTAGCAAAACGGCAATTCCGGTTTTTAAACCGAATGATTATATTTTGGATATGAATTTAATTTCGCTGAAACAGTATATAGTTGTGTCAAGATGTTTTCAAACAAATAAATATGTTTCTGCTTTTTACACGTATTCAACAGAAACAGTGAAGCTGCTCATATATTTCTTAGAAGACATTAAAGATTACGACAATAAGTGTTTCCATGTCATATCTACTTACCATAAGTAGTCCTTTATAGGCGTAAACAGATCCAAGAAAAATTGTCATCTTCTGACTTTTACAAAACTCCATTTCTGGAATAATTACATAGTCTTCGTATTCAGAAGATGGCTGGAAAATAATAATATCGAAATTACCAAATGCGATTGATAAAATGATACAAATTAGAAATGTTTAAAAATCTAATAACTTCTTATTATTGTTGGTTTAAAATAAAATAAATAAAAACTACATAATAAAAGCATAAATACCAGTTTCGTATTTTCAAGAATTATCTTCAGTTTCTAAAGTAAGACTTTCTAATAAGACATACTTAACAACGGTTTATTAGGCTACTTAACAAATGTTCATTAGGCTAGTTAACAATTGTTTATTAGGCTACTTAATAACTGTTTATTAGGCTACTTAACAAAGATTTATTAGGCTAAATATAATTTTTTACCTAAAACAAGTGAATAAATTTGTATATAATGATATTCTTTCCGGGGTTTAAAAGCCTACAAACACATTTGGGTAAATGGTAGTTCTACGTTATTAAAAGCACTTTATATCCAGTGAAGGGAAGAGGAACTCGTTTATTAAATAACATTAGATAAATGTTCTTCTGATTCAGAACATTCTTGTACGGTTTCACTCAATATCTTTGTCACACATATACAGCAAAGTGGAACGTTACATTGCAGTTTTTCAAGAGCAATAATGAATGATAAAATGAGATTTACATGTGAACCTTCAAGTCAGAAAAAGCAAAGTAACAGGTCCACGAAGTCCATAAAGTTTTCAAAATATTTCACTTTTTGAAATGATTTAGTGAAAGTATTTCATATCCCTTATTTCTTTATTAGTGTCAGAATATAGTACAAACAATTTTCATATATTTTAGATATATGCAAACGGACCTCGTCAGGATTCACTCTGCTACTGAAAGTAATAATGAAGTTATTTTCTTTATAATCGAGAACGACTTCATAACAATGTCGTACTTGGGGGTATATTATATGGAAATCTAACAGAACCATTCAATGTCGTACTTGGGAGCATATTATATGGAAATCTAAGAGAACCATTCAATGTCGTACTTGAGGCATATTATATGGAAATCTAAGGGGAACCATTCAATGTCGTACTTGGGAGCATATTACATGGAAATCTAAGAGACCCATTCAATGTCGTACTTGGGGCATATTATATGGAAATTTAAGAGAACCATTCAATGTCGTACTTGGAGGCATATTATATGG